ATAGCACGAGGGGACCGTGTATTCTAACGCCATATCTGCTGCCATTTTATCCAATTTATATTGAGATATCTTCACTTTAAGAAATTCTCTTGATTATTTACATATGATGTATCTGGAGACACTGGTAGTGTCTCGGCGCTAAGCTACGCGCAGCGACACAGCCGTGGCTACTTTACGCGAGCCGGCGAGTTGCGTCAGATCGAGATTATCGGATCTCATATAAGGGCTGAACCGGTCAAGTTCTAAGTGTGCTCAATCGATTGCGACCGGTTTAAATATAAATGAAAGTGTTTTTATTTTTTCTCTACATGCCCTACGAGCGGAGATATTGCGATGCAAAATCCGAATCTTTGATTTTTATTAACGTCGTCGACCATCGATCAGACAGACGACGTTCAGACCAGAGGAAAAATGTACTGTTCATTTTTTCGATAATAGATGGCATTGGCATTGGCAACATTGAACATGAACATGACCACACATGACGGCATGACGGCTATGACGGCTGTAAAGGTCTTGAATATAAAGGTGCCTTTATATGGCAGCGTCAAGAGTCGAGCGTCAGATCAGAGGATGCACAATAATATAATAATATAATGTAATAATATAATATACAACATTATAATATGTTATGTTAATGTTCGGGATACACTAATAGTGGAATTTTGTAGAATTTTGTAGTTTTGTAAATAAATAGATGAAAAATACAGGTTATTACTATATTATTTAGTTCAATTCAAAAATATGAAGTATAAGTTTATTTTTAAATATATAGATTTTAAATATAATAAAAATATAAAATATAATATATCTAAAAATATGAAAACCTTCACAATATTTATGCAAGCTATAAAAATGTTTCATTAACTAATTCTAGTTTTAACTAATTTAACGTTTCTTTTTTTTTAAATATTAATACCAATGTTTCTAATATATGATAATTGAAATTTTTCAATTATCATATATTAGAAACATTGGTATTAATAATGAATTATGGTATTAATAATTGGTAATTGGTATTAAGGGGATACTAAACCGATTACCCAACTCAATCAAGGTCGATAGTACAGACTTTTTTAATTCCAATTTCGATAATAGTGGCGAC